TCCTCCAACTCTAATTACCGTTGTGTGAAGTAGGGGTCAAGATTCTCTTCTCTTTTTTCTTATATGGATAACCTGTGGTTCTAGTACTCATCATTTGTTAAAAAGACTTTCCTTTCTCTATAGAATTGCTTTGGCACCCTAGTTGTTTCTTATTAATAATAAAATACAGATGACTTCAAATGATTAACTCTCGATAGATTAGATGCTGTTTAAAAATAGCTTTCAAAGTTTCCTTTATACTACTGTCTAACTCACACACATGCATGCTGAGATTGGTTCTTTACTGGGAGAAGAGGGGCAAGCCATGGTGTGTACGCAGCTCTGGGTGTGCCTGTATCCCGCAGGTGAAATTCTATTAGCCACGGGTGCAGCCAGGACCCTGGGCTGGGGCATGCTGCTCTGAGAGTACACATGTAACACACCCATTTCCTTTTCAGACTGATTCTTGTCTTAACCAGTCTCAAAAGCCCATGTTGATTTCTCCTGTTGAACCTGATGTTCTCTCCATCATTTTGATACATGAACACACCACACCTTTTTGAATGCTCATATCCAGATCAGACAGATACACACATGCCAACTTCATCTGGAGAGGGAGGCCGCAGAGGGCAAAGCCCTGCTCATAGCATTCTCTGCAGACATGCACAGTGGGAAGACTAGGCGCTTTAGTCTCACAGAGAAGGGGCCTTACATTCTGGCTCTCCAACCTACTAACCTCAGGGCCTGACCCTCGGGCCTCATGTTCTCAGCTCCTAAGGAGACACCTGGCAGCCCCCTTGCCGTGTTTCTGTGAGTCTAAAATGTGATGTCTAAGAGTTCTACACACAACATTTTCCTGCTCCTTGCTGAGCCATTCACAGTGGAACCAAGGTAGGAATGGCAAAGGTTATTGCCTCCATTTCAGTGGTGAGGAACTTGGGCTCAGGGATGTTAATGACTCACGTGTGGCAGAGTGGGGTTTAGATCCCGACTCAGCCTTGGGTTTGCTCAGCGCCATATGGGTTGTCACTGCTCCACCTTCCTCCTGCCCACCGCCCCCGAGCTCAGAAAAGGGCTAGAGAAGGAGGGAGGGCAGGATGGGCTCCTCCATATCACTGGAATCATCTGTAGTCCCTGCCTTTCCGTAGTGCGCTGGCTTTGTTGGTTTGTTTTGTTGTTTTCTTTTAAAGCAACGAGGCATTTCTGGGCACAGAAGCCACTTAGAAAACTCAGAGCCAGCACACTTTTGAGTGACTGGAGAGGTAGCAAGTGCATTCCCTCCCCCCACCTCCTGGGTGCTAGGATATTCCTTCCTGGGAACATGAATTGCCCTTGTAGAGTCCTTAGATTGCTCAGCTTCTGAGTTCCTTGGTCTCTCCGGAGCTGGCCTTCCTAACTCAGACTCCATCCTTGCATCTGATTTGCCATCCCAAAGCCACTATGGTTTCAGGGGCAAAACCACTGACCACTTGGAACATGTGAGGATAAAGAGGGGCTTCTGATAGTTTTGACAATGAACCCACAGCTGGCCCACATCCTATGGCCTAGCAGCTTCCTGAGAGGGTTCTGTGGCTTGTCTATGGCTGCTGCCATTGTTCTGAAGGCTGGACATGTCACCACCATGGTAGTGGCCCATCCACCTTTGTCATTGTCCAGAATGAATTTCTAGCCTCAGCTGTAGGTGTGCCTCCTCAACTATGTGGGAGGGGGATAAGGTTAAGGGTACAGACATGGATGTCCGAGAGGCCTTCTTAAGTCTTGACTTTGCAATGTCTCCTTGAGCACATTAATCTCTCATCTGGATAATGGGGAGGATAGAGCCCCGTGGGATGAGTTTGGAATGAGAGCATGCATGTGGGCTCCAGGTGGCTGGGCTGGTTCTCTCTTTCTCTCTTGCAAGTAGAGCAGTGGCTTCTACTCTCTAAGGAGCATCCCACCTGAATGCCACGGATGTCACTCCACCATCACTGCTGGTGCTGTCTGTGCCCTCCCACCACCTATAGATGGGGAGAGCACAGGTGGCCCTGGCTGGCAGCTCCTGAGCACTGCTCAAGGGATGGTGGTCAGTGGGGAGAGGGAACTCCCAGAGTGACAGCCGAGGATACACACATGCCTGTGTGGGTGTCCATGGTGGGGCACTTGCGGGCTGTCATATATTCTTCAAATATTCTTTTGAGTTCACTTGTTTTCTCTCATGTATGAAGAAGAAAATAACCTCCAGTGTGGAAGGGCCTCCCTTTCATCCCCTGGCTGCTTCACTGACTGGCTCTGGGGCTGAGAGCTGCAGGGCACAGCACCAGGGAAGCAGCCCACAGGCTGCCAGGGCCTCCTGAGCAGGAGGAGAGGTAGGCAGGGAGGGGCAGAGGCACGATGGGTGCTGAGCCCATGAGGCCCTCCACTCTCTCTGAGGCTCTGGTTGGTCACATAATTTATCGCCACAACATTCGTAGTCTCCAGTGCTTGCTAGCCTCAGTCTGGCTGGTGTCTTTAGAGGCCTGTCATAGGGACAGGTGATACATGTGCTAGCAGGACACCAGGATGTGAGCTTTCAGACCACTTAAAGGGAGGGAAACTATCTGTAAGGTTGTCCCCTCACATCACTATGTCTCCAGACAAGAGGGGTGCTGGGGATGCTTCTCTAAATGGCCACCGCCTCATTAAACAGCTCAGCCCTGGGCTTTTTAAGAAGGCCTCCCTGTCTTTCCCTGAGTGCGGCAACCTCAGTCTGACCCTCTGGAGTGGGGAGTCTCTGAAGAGGCTTAAAGATACACTCGGGATGTCTGATCCAATGCAGTGTTAGGAACAACACGCTGGAAACCCTGATTCTAAACCCAGCTCCACAATATTTCACTGTTATTGTGCCCTGGGGGAAGCTGTTTTGTCCCTTTGGACTTCAATGTCCTCACATATAGATTGGGGGCGGGGGCATGTGGATGCCCTCTGTTCCAGTTCTAACAGCCCATGCTTCCATCTTCTCTCCCTGAACAATAATCAGAGCAGGTGTCCCTTACTGATGGCTGGCTTCGTGCTGGGCTCTGTGCCAAGCGTAGTATATGTGATGTCACATTCAGTCCTCACAAACCTCTGGAGCAGGCACTACTGTTATTCCCATTGACAGAGGAGGGAACTGAGCCTCCCGAGGGTCAGAGGGATGGTGCTGTTATTAGTCACCACGCTCTGTTTCATATGGGAGTTGTGTGTTTCTTCAACTGCAAAGTGACTGTTTGTCTAATGGAGTCCCTTGCTCTTCTTTCATTGTTTCCCCCTTTTTCATTATTTATCCTTCTGTGGGAGTCACATGAAAATGCCAAGAAGTAGACATTCTCTTGGCTCCCTGGGGGTAGGGCAGGCCCACTTTTAGCAGGAGTGCTTATGGGTCAGAGCTGGCCCGGGGGGCTCTGCACAAGCCCCCACAGCTGGACAGTGCACAGAAGCCAAATGCAGGCCTGGGGAGTGGGGAAGGGCGCTGATTCCCCAGTCAGCCTGCTTCTGCTTAGACAGACGTTCTTCACTTGGAGGCAGCAGTCTGAGCCTTCCAGTTACGTTCCTGGCCTTGCTCATGACCTCCTTAGGCCTCTGTTTCCTCATTTGTAAAATTTAGGTAACAGTTTACTATACCTCATGGAATGTTGAGAGGATGTTCAAGAACGTCCTCTGTGCACCCTTGGATTGAAGTCCAAAGGGACAAAACATGTCCCTCATGTATGAAGAAGAAAATAACCTCCAGTGTGGAAGGGCCGTGCCGTCTTGGTTTGTGTAAGTGCACACTATGAGGTTCCCATGATGGTGACATGACCTTAAGATGCATTTCTCAGAACACATCCCCATCAATAAGGGATGTGTGACTGTACTTGACAAATATTTGTTCAGGTGTGGGCCATGGGGAAGCACCATGGTTGTTGCATTGTACTCACCTGGCTTGCATTCTTAAAGTATGCTAATAAATGCCTGACCAGTCCTGGGGAGGAAGGGATGTCTGGAAATGCAGCCCAATCCTGCACCAGAAATGGTCTTCTGGCAAACACACGTGAAGAAGAAATTACAGGTTCCATTGTGTGTTCCCTCTCAGATCCACCCACGTGGGGAACTGCGCCAGTGGGCCCCAGGGCCCTGGACAGTGATTTGACTCCAGGCTGGACGTGGAGTATAGCTTCCTTAATTCCCTTGAAAATCCAAGGGAAAAGTCCGAATTAATCACACAATAAAATGACATTAAAGCTATTCCTTCCTTTGGAAAGCAGCTGCCCACCCCCATCCCGCTAGCTGATAATGGCCACTCCTCATCAAATATTTATCCCAGCACTCACAGTCTTCCATCAGCCTCCAGCATCATGCCAGGGATGGAATCTGATTATTAAAACTGGTCATGAATGAAGCAGGCAGACTACAAAGTGCCTGGGATGGAAAGGGGGAACATCAAAGCCCCATACTCCTCCTCAAAGGTCGCCTGCTGGAAGTGGAGGCCTCCTACTGGGAAACAAAACTTGAAGGGAGCTTGAGGACCTGGCCCCTCTGTGTGCCTCCGAGACTCTGGAGCCACTCTCTCCCTTTCTTTCCTCTCCAGTGGGGCAGAAGGCAGTCAAGCCCAAGTCCTGGTGCCAGAGGCCTGACTCCAAGCCACTTGTTTATGAAAAGCAAATAGATATCCTGTCCCAGCTCAAAGATGCAATCCTCTTCACTTTTGAGGGGAGCCCTGGCATTTCATTAGTGCCCTCTTTGAAGCCTGCCCTTTGCAAACCAGAAAAAGAAGAGAAAGGAGGAAGGAATGGAAGCTGATTCAAAAGGCTTTCTGTATTGTAGCTGGAGTTTCTGATGTCCCTCTGTGTGGCTTCAATCATTACATGGGTGGAAGAGCCTGTCAGGTAAGAAATCATGCCTGGTGCTTAATGGAACCCAGGGACCAATTAACCGCAGAGTGCCAATGTCAGCAGGCTAAGCCTGTCTAGAAGGAATAGGAGTGAACTCATATCATTGCTTCTTCCCCCCATTTCCCCCAAATAAAAGACAAATGCTATGTCAACAGTTTCTCAAGAGTGATCCTTTATTTTCTAAAAATCCTAAAACTGACCCATTTATCAAAAATGACTGATGCCGCAGTCCACAAACCATTTCTTTCCTCTTTCAGCAAATCCTAGAGCCCTGAGAGTGCCGCAGCCCAGGTGAGGCGGTGACATCAGAACCTGCCCTCCACACCTAGCAGTTGCACCGCAGCCTCCTGCACAGCCTGGTGGACGTGCCCGACCTCTCTCTGGGATAGGGTGCGCTCCATATGGCGGTAGGTGATGCGGTAGCAGTGGCTGGTCTTGTGTGTCCTGGAGAGTGGAAGAGAGTGCAGGTGAGTGAGGGACAAAGAGGCCTGCACCTGCAGGAGCAGCCTGACCCACCTGTCGGACCTCCCCACCACACGGCATCTAGGTATCACTTGCCGCTGCCTTTTCTACATACTATGGGGGGAGGGAGGAGAAGGTGGCACTTAGGGAAATGTTAGCTTGAGTAATAGAGAATGCTTGTTCCCACTGGACTGGAAAGTCAAAGTTCCCAGGGAAGAAAGCTGACTAACTTGATTTTCTGGGTCAAGACCTGGAGATTCTGATTCAGCAGGTGAGAGGTGGGACTTGGGGGGCTGAGCAGCTCCCAGGCTTGCTCTTAACCCTATTCTGACAAGCAGATAGGGTTAAGAGCTTACTCAAGTGTGCCTCTACCTTTTCCACATCACAGAAGACAGCCACAACTGGGTGGCATTTTGCAGTATCAGCAAGGCCTGAGGGTGCCATTCTCTCAGAATCTCGTCAGCCATCAGAAGCATACAAACTGTGTATACCATGCATGTGCTGTGTAGACCACTGCTTTAATAGTCTGCCTTACTACAGTGCTGTTGACTTGGCTTTCATGTAACAACTGATTAATTCTGGAATGCATGGCCTTGACAGCAGGGGTGCCTTCTATTTGCATGATAGTAGTTAAGATACACTGGTCAGTGTATCTCATCAGAAAGACCTGTGGGCCATGAGCTGGCAGACATGACCTTCCGCCTGAGCTGCCTCACTGGCCACGTGGCCAGGGGTCTGACACCTTCTCTCTCCGGGTGTTTACACTTCTCTTCTGCATAATGATGGGACTGGTTCAACTTCAGAGCCATGTGAATTCCTCATTTCTAGCCCTCAGTAGCAGGCGTCCTCAAACTACAGCCCGTGGGCCACATGTGGTCCACTGAGGACATTTATCCGGCCTGCTGGGTGTTTTTGCTGCTGCGGCCTTAGCAGCCAACTTGTCCCAGGGCCCACAGTCCGGCCCTTCAATGGTCTGAGGGATAGTGACCTGGCCCCATGTTTAAAAAGTTTGAGGACCCCTGCACAGTAGCATAGTCAATCCAGGCCCTCCCTCCCCTCTCACCTCAGGGAAGGAAAGTAAAACTAATGAAGCAGTTCCAGGTTGATCCCACTGGGGTTATGTCACCCAACTCTTGGCCTACCCAGGGAGAGGATATGTGCTCTCTGGTAGGTGAGGGAAGGCTGGGCCTTCAAGAATGCCAGGGCCTTGGACAAATGGCCTTCTTGTGATACCACCCCCTCATATACTCTGAAAGACCTAACAGTCTGTATTGTTGCCCCCCTGAGTCCACAGCCTTTGCTCCGATGCTTCATGGATTGTTCTCCCTGGGGTCTGTCTCCCTCCTCTCCCTCTCCCTCTGCTTTAATGTCAGACTAGGCAGAATACACCTTGTCAGAGGGGAGTCAACTTTGGTCCTAGCCTCCCTAACCTCTTTTACTTCCCCTTCCAGCATCTCTTCTTCTCTTTCCTCCAGACTGGCTTGGTCATCTTTGTCCTACTTTCATCCTTCCTCCTGCCTGGAGCCCACTTCAAGAAAGATAAGCTCCTAAAGTGTAGGGTGCTGTACATTTCAGTTGAGTACACAGTCCCTGTTTGGATCAAGCCACAAGAATAAGTTACCACTGAGGTGCTACAACAACCAAGCCAGGAGAAGGAAGCTTTCCTTAGGGGCTTTCTGACAGCACAGGGAGGCCTGATTCATTCCCTCCCTGATTCCAGTAGCCTGTTCTCAAAGAAGAGAGAATATAAAACTCCTTCCTACCTTCCTCTTCCAGCCCAGCTCAGGTCAGTGGCTCTGCTCTGAGGATATTCCCTATAGGATAGAGCCTGAATGCTGAGGGATCACTGCTGCTCAAACTGACCCAAGGGCCTCCCATGAAACAGGGTGTCCCTTTCTCTCCCCGCCTGCTAAAACATGAGTGCCCCAGACACCATGCTCACCCAAGCCCTCCAGACACCAACATGCAGTGAAACAGGGAAGCCCAGCACACAGAAGGAAACAGAGGCTCTCGAGGGGTGGGAGCTGATGAAACCACACACCCAAGCCCCCAAATACTGACAACTTCTTCCATTCAAATCACAGTTGCCCCATTTATAGTTGATTGGTATTTGACAAGGGCATTCAGATCACCTACAAGGGAACATCTTTTCAGTAAGTGATGCTGAGACAACTGGATATCCACATGCAAAAGAATAAAGTTGAATCCCTACCTCACACCACACACACAAATTAACAAAAAGTAGATCATACATCTAAATGTAAGAACCAAAACTATATCATTCTTAGGAGAAAACAATCAATATAAATTGGTAAAAAAATCAATAAATTTATCAACAACTTATCAAAGTTAGGGATTTTTGTAATTCAATGAATGTATATCACCAAGAAAGTAAAAAGTTGATACAGAATGGAAAAAAGTATTTGCAAATCTTAACCTGATAAGGGACTTGTATCTTGAATATATAAAGAATTCTTATTACTCAAAACAAAATGACCAATACCCAGTAAAAAATGTGAAAATTAGAACAGACATTTCTCTAAAGAAGATATACAAAAGGCCATTAAGCACATAAAAAGATGTTCAACCTCAGCCATTAGAAAAATGGTTAAATCAAATTAAAAGTGGTTAAATCAAAACCACTATAATATACCATGTCATACTCACTAAGATGGCCATTAAGACAAAATGGAAAATAATAAGTTTTGGAAAAGATATGGAGGAATCAGGACTCATTTGGAAAGTGACAGGGATCTGCAAATTTTAAAGTACTATATGAGATGTATGTGAGGTAAAAGAATCATTATGGCTACTGTTGTTATGTTCATTTTTTTGCTGGTTCACTTAGGTACTTCCTAGCTCAAGAGTTGGTATGATGGCAACTCTACAAGTTATTGCCAAAGACAAATAGGGAGAAAAAATATGTCTTCCTATTTCTGTGCATTTCAAAAGGCTGCTGTAAGTATTCTTGGAATCCCAACAGTTTATACAAGACATTTTGATGAGTTAGATGTACATGAATCATAAATTATGGATTAATTTTACAAATTAAGAGAAATAGTAGAGTGGACATCGACTTCTGTTGAATTCAGTAGGATCAAGTAAAAATCAATTGGGTTTGCCTTTTTTTCACACCAAAGGAGAGACAGAAAGCTTCTTTTCATTGGTTTTCTAAAAACTTCTGTTTGGCGCTTCCCATGGGAGGACATACTCCTACTTTTGCAGACTGGAGAACTGAAGAAAGTAGAGCTAGCAGATGGTCAAGGGTGGAGGACCCAGGTACCCTCATTCTTGAACAGTAGTCCATCCATGGAAACCACAGGAATGTAGAGCTGAAGGATCTCACCACATATCAGTAAATAGGTAAGAAGATGGATTCTTCAATGGGTGGGATGCTCTCAATGACCAATTCCATATGTCTGATTAGAGCTCTTTTGGTTCTTTTATATCACTCAATGTAGCTTCTTTTAGCCCCAAAGCTTTTCAATTTATCATCTGTTGTAACTCCCACTGTCCCTAATAGTATAGCTACAGCAGCAAACATTTGTGTAGCACCTGTGATATACCAGACATGTTCTAAGCCTTATACATACATTAACTCATTTCAGCATCACAACCCCATTGGGTAGATAGCATTACTATCCCATTATGCAGATGAGGAAAAGGAGGTACAGAGAATATACGTAACCTGTCCACACTTAACAAAGCTAATAAGTGGCAGGGCAAACTAGGCAAACTGGTGGGAATGTAAACTAGTACGAGCCACAGTGGAAAACAGTTTGGTAATTCCTCCAAAAGTTAAACACAGAATTACCACATAATCCAGCAATTCTACTCCTC